CCAACTTTCGTTTTCTTATGCCCCTTATCGCGCATTTGCAAGCACGCTCTTAACAAAAACAAAAAGGGGGCCATCAAATGACAAAACTAAGAAGCGTATTTCCTTTGTGACGATACAAGCAAAATATTAAGATACATAGATACAAGCAAAATATTAAGAAATATTAAGAACCGGAAAGCGAATAAAATGACGGATCGGATAAGTGATCGGGTCATGGTCATCGTCTAGTGTATTGACATGGCCACGTTTCAGCCGGCGCACTGTTCAGCCGGCGTCAGATTTTATAGAGTGTATACTGGAGTGATTTTATAGTGTATAGAGAGAGGTATACAACACAAAGTTGTACGCTAAAACATGAAGGGAAAAGAGAAAGAAAGGGATGAGAATGAAAGAAAAATATGAGAAAATGCAAAAGAACAACAAACGTGAAAACTATAACCATCAGCCACAGAAATATTTTGGTTGCACTATACCCATCAGCGCAATGTTTATAGTTCTTGGACATGGGATGTAGGGAAACGTCCACAAATAACGTTACGCTTTTTTGGTAACTGTTCAACTTTCCATCCCCTGGTTGCGCAATGATAACGCCAGGTTAATTGCTCCCTTCTTCCCCTGGTTACACTGTGTAAGGCATAGCGTCCCAAAAATGTAACGTGCGTGTGGCCCTTACATGAGCCAGGTATACAACACAAATGACAGATGCGTTACTTGTCTTGAGAGAGGGAGAGAGAGATAGGGAGAGAGAGAGAGAGAGAGAGAGAGAGAGAGAGAGAGAGAGAGAGAGAGAGAGAGAGAGAGAGAGAGAGAGAGAGAGAGAGAGAGAGAGAGAGCCAGTGGCATCCGACTTCAGGCCTTTATTTCGTTGCCATAGATTTCAGGATGATATGCAGCCACACCTACACAGAACGTTACTATCTTTAAAACTGGACGATGCTTGCCAACTTATTCAGTTTGTATCTCTGAATCATGAAACCTCAATTATTTTCCATGAAGCAAACACAATTGCTGATAGCGCTTATGCAAAAGGAAATTGCCCTGTTTCTGAAAGGGAATGAAACGATCTAGTCCTGCCGTGGTTATATGTGTCACATCGGACTTAACCAAATCAAGAATTAGATTGCTATATGTTCTTTTCAGCGACAAGGTGGTAGATCGTTGAAACAAGATGCCTTACGGGACCGTCGGTATTAGCCCTCTCACTTTTAAAAAAAGGCTTAAACAAATACCGCAGTGAAACGGAAATAGGTCCTATTGGACGAGGACAAATATATATATATATATATATATATATATATATATATACATCTCCTTTAAACATGTTTCCCTGAAAACCAGGGAGCTACGGGTTTTTGCATGCTGTCTGTTTAGCCATCCGGTATCTTATCAGTTTTTTCGAGTCCGGTTGAAGTAAAAACATTGAATCACCACAACTACTGATGTAATGAATCGCATATGTGCTGCTTTTTAATTTAAACATCCATCTTCTTGGGAAATAAGTTTTGATGCGCCTGATATCATCGGGATATCACCTTATGATAGATACATGATGATCATGCTCATGTAAGCAGGAACCAAAGCATATGCAGATGCAAAGCAGACTGACAAACACCTCATTTGTATCTAATGTGTCCTGACTATTGGAAGAACGTACAATACAATTTCAACCAATGCTGTTTATTCTCAAAATGCTAGTGTAACGCAAGTATCGAGTTGTTTACCGGGTGCTGGAGCATGCTGGCGGATAAGTAAGCCTCCTAATATCACCGATCGTGCATTGCTGTGTTGCATTTTGACGACGGTTGTGTTTTCAATGAGTCTCTCGAGTGTTAGTGTTGTTAGGTTACACTGTCATGTTTTCGGGGAGCCGCCTAAGGAACGGTGTGTTGCTTGGAAAGAAAAGTGGCTGCAACGCCAATGCAGTTTATCCTCCGAAAACTTCAACCGTCGTACGGACAGGCGCATTGGTTAGTTGGTGCACCTAAAAACATGTTTTGCTGACATGTTTTCAACCAAATATTTGCTTGCTTTGAACGTGATCGGACGTGCCGTTGCATGCCACATTGTCCCGGTTGATGAAATGAGTGATATCTTTCTCCCCTTCGTAAGCTGATAACATGTGACTGCTAAAGTAGAGCTTGATCACGCTTTTGGTCGTCTTGTTGGTTCTCTGGCTTTCTGTGCCTCGTTTTACATGCCATTGCATGATACAAATATCGACATATATACATTTAACGTGTGGAGCGGTGCTTTGGTCAGCGGGAAGTTTGCTTTCAAGCTCACGCACATCAAAGTTCGTGAGGAGTAGTCTTCAAGGTATACCACGGGCAACAGAAGCACCATACCTATATTGTACTTTTGCTGGTATAGCTGGCCATCAGGGCCACGAAATAGTGCTTCTGTTGCCCGTGCAGTCGTAAGTTTTTCAACCGAAAGCTTTAAAGCTGGTAACGTACCGTGCCTGTACACTTTACGAGGAAGATTTTGACTTGATTCTTGCATTACATTTGAACTTCCTGGTTACACAGGATTGGGTGTCCACCACTTTAAGGCACATGACAAACAAATATGCGCAGTGTGTTGAAGTGGACCCTTCGTTCGCAAATGCATTGAAGTATGTTTAACTGAGCATGCTTGAATGAGGTGCAAAAAAGCTTTCGCAAGCTGTAGTTTTGTTCTTTGTAGTTCAGTCCTTGAGTATTTACGAAGGTTCCTTCAATCATGTGTGACTTGCCACATCCATTTGGGAATATATATATATATATATATATATATATATATATATATATATATATATAATATGATATATGTATGTACATTTTCTCAAAGCTGTTTTTATATAGGCACACGTGTTGTGCAATATCCTCTTCTTTAAATCATCTACACTACACACATACACACTTTCTATTGTGTCTCACTAAGATATGTTAAACCTCCAAAGATCATAACAACGACCCAATGATCAACCACCAGGTCAACGCAAGGGGCACACTCCACTTGTTTGACCGTCCGCGCCTGCAGCAAGGACGTTTAACGTTGAGAGTTCCTTTGGTGGCTTTGAACTAGTTTCACATAGTTTGTTCGAATTACCGGGTTCGCCTTATTGCGGATGTTCTTTGTGAGCGACAATTTCCGAATTAATGACTTATTGTGATTTTACTGAGCCTGGAGACTGGAAACTGTGCTGGATTTTCACCGTTATGTTCACAATGTTCCACTCTAACTGCAATGGATAGGTTGCCGAAGTAGTCAATAATAATTGCGGAGAGACATTAGCACACCACGTTTAAACAGCTGGCCAAATGATGATCTTTGAGCAGACGATCCGATAATTAAGATAATTACGCAGTATGACAAACTGTGGGCGATAAAGCTGTGCCCTCCAACGTTATATATATATATACATATATATATATATATATATATATATATATATATATATATATGAGTCACAGGTCTTGACCATTCACAATATTATGTTTTTTAAATATGTTCCAAAAGCAAAAATATGTTCCAAAGTTGACCGACCCAAAGCTCGCTGACAATCAGCTGGAAACCGCCCAATACCACCTGGCCAAAAACGGGACCTAAAACGAACGAACTTGCCATGAAAGCTGCACAGATATGTATAGTTCAGATCAATGCAGCCAATTTGAAACTGAAACATTATGCTCTAATTTTTTGTCATGCTTAAATCTCATTCTCCGAAACCACAACCATTGCAAAGTCACCGCTTTGCAGGTTGATTTGCCAGTACTGACCACCCTTACAGCCCACCAGTTTCAAGCAATATGGTCTGTGAAATCATCGCGACAGCTGCATTGACAGGCCTGTGCCCTAAACTGTCATGGGATGTGGATTCCCATACTAAGAGATCAAACATGCTGGGATGGATTTCCAAAGGATAATATTGTCATCGGAATCTTCTTAGTTTATAGTTTGACATAATCTACATGATTGTTCTTGATAACTCTCCTCTTTGCCATCATCTCGTTCGCCCCACGCCGTGCAGGGAGTCTCACCAACATATAAGTTTACTAGAAACGTGTTCTACGCTGAAAGATTTAGCATATTTTTCACTGGAAAAAATTTGCCCATGATTATTGAAGGCACTTATTTTGAGCGTGCGCAGGTCGTATCATGACCCGTTATCTAACGCCTGCAAGACCTCCTCTTACGAACTGATGCAGCGCCGACGGTCGTCTTAGTTTCTCCAACGTTGAAATAGCCCCCGTGGATGATACCGTGTGTTTCAGGCATTTTGGTGAAAAGACCGTTCCAAAAATGCATTGTGCTTGTGAAGTGTGTCACTGTGTGTGAAAAGTGTGTAAGTCAGGACCATGCGTCAGAAATCCGCGCAGGCATTGGCGAGCCATGGCTGAGCTTAACGCCCAGGCACATCGTCTCTGTAGTATCTATTTCTGAGAGAAGTGTGAGATTTGTTTTGTTCAATCACACTAAATACACAGAAGTCAGGTTTTGATGTCGGCAGCATCTCTTTTATTTGATTTTTTGCGTGCTGTTATTCATATTAAGTTGCGAATGCTAGCAGGATGCTATGAGATTGTAGAATACCACATATGAACGGGGCTTAGAAACAATAGACTTCTGATGTGATGCAAATGCGAAAACCAGCAGGGATTTGGAAAAGAGCAGACGTCCTTAAAACAGAAGTCATCAAGCGATGGAACAAACTATTTTAATCTGATCGCATTTATGACACCAACGTTTTAAGTAGCTGTCTGGGAAGTTTATTGACTGTGTATTCCTCATCAAAAGTATACCATTGGTACTGGCCACAATAGCATGGCCTTTGTGGGCATCATTCATTCAATTCCTCACGATTTCTTCACGACTTCCGCAGTCTCTCCATGAATGCGACTGTGCGGCTTGATATGAAACACCCGTGTAACCAATCCGACCTGACCCCAGCCAGCGGCCATCGGACGTTACGGCCGTCACAGCGTCGTCGCCACGCCTACCGCGGCAGTCCGCCTCACCTGTACCTCTAGACGGTCGGCGTCAGTGGGTCTCGTCGCTGCCGCCGCACGGTCACCGTGCTCGGCCGCCGCTGGACGCGAGTCGTCTGCGACGACGGCGGACGCGGCGCCCCGTGCGGTCGTCGCTGTCGACGGCGCGCCCCGTCGGCACCGGCGACTCGAGCGACGTGCCTCCGCGTCGGGGGCGGTCCACAGAGCGATCCCAGGCTGACCCTGCTCCACCATGCCCCTCGGTCCCGAGAGGTGACCCTGGAATGGGGGTAGGCGTGATAGCCCGAGGCATCAAGCTTTCCAGGAAGATTGCACTGTGAGGTCCTTCTATTTACTTTTTGTGGGAAAAGCATGGGCTGTACCTCGTCGCAGTCATTTTTCATCGTACTTTGAACGGACTTACAAGTTACGTGGAAAGAATATGCACTTTCAATGTTCAAAAAAAATCATCGCGAGTAATTCATGTCTCAAGACATAACAAACAAGCAAGCTTTCGTGGTATCGGCCAATATGGATGAAAAGTAAGGCTGGCAGGCGTGGTCGGTCCTCGGTGCATCCGCCTCTGCTAGAGCTAATGGCCGGCTAGCCAGTCACGTTAAATCTAGGTAAGTTTCCTAGTCTCGTGGGTCCTCGGCACGTACCAACTGTAGATCCGCCTCTACTTGGGCTCATGGGTGGGCAGCCGTTCACGGTCTGGATAGCGCGACATGATGTATAACTGCAAGTTCACGCACAGCTCGCATCGACAACCTGCAAACGGCCGGCGAAAATGGTCTCCCTGGGTATGACTGAAATTTGGGGAGCTTGTTTTGAATTGACAGTGTTATATATATATATATATATATATATATATATATATATATATATATATATATATACACCAGTATCACGACGAGTTGGAGAGTGGGGCAACAACAAATGTAAGAGTTGCCAACTGATATGAGGCAGATAATGCCAGAACTATGTCAACAAAACCAAAAACTTTTGGAAACTGATGCCAATGTGTGATCAATGCGCAGTCTTCATGTAATGAGAACCGAATGAGCGGAGGCACAGTGCTGCAACATTCCCGCGTTGATTCGCCTCTACCATTGCTTACCAGCTTGGTGGCTATGACGGTGATCGATTGCAACGCCATCGTCGAAAATACTAAACTCGCAATTATTTGTGGGCTTGGTCAACGTATTGCGGGAAACGCAAACAGCTGGGTGAAAAGCGATCATAGTAAACATGGCTGTGCAGTTTCCACGACGCCTTCTGCCTCTCGGTTTACGTTACAGCGCCTTGTTTGCGAGACCGGTTCCGGAATAAGTGAAATTGGTCCCTTTCTGCTCGATCATTTATTGGTGCACTTGAGTCACAGAGCTCTGAGACCTTCCGGTAATTATAGCCGGCACCTTTGCCTGTGTGCAAAGTGCGGGTGGTTTCACGTCTTCACCTGCTCTGTTTGTTGATATCTAACACCAGTCCTAAAAATCGCCCCAAAACGGGTGGGTCCATGGCTTACGCGCCTTAGTACATAACTGCCTGTATGCATCAGCACACTCACACGTGAACTGGTGCAATTGTCCGCTTTATTCTGCTAGAGCGTTGGTTAATCTCGCGTGGCCGTGGCGCTGGGCAGTAAACACCTGTATCTGGTATCGTATGGGGCGGTTTAGCTTTTTCGTACGGCTTAAGGAATGCTTAATTTCTCTATGTTAATGCAATGAGGTAATAAAGGTGTAATGCCACAAGCTGCAGAAAACCCACTTTATTGGCAGCATGCATGTTATCGCCAACCGACTGTATGACACAAACAGCAGTGGATTGCGTCTCTTGTTCTTAACACGCGCCCGGGTGGCCGGCTAAATACCCTTTGCTCCTGTTAGGGGGTCAATTTGACCCCCTGAGATCTCGACAACTAATGCACAGCACACATGCTTTTAGACCAGCACGGGTGAGTTGACGTCATATGAAATCTGTTGGTGACCTCACATGACCTACCTAGGCTATGAATTTCCGTGGCTGATACACAGTCGCACCAAACTAGTCGGTGTGTGTCGGAAATGCAAATCGTTTTATGTTCAACCGACAGCAGCCGTGCGAGATTTTATTGACGGCCTCATAAATCTGTTACATTGCTCAACGTCTGCAACTATTCATCCAGAATGTAGAAAATAATCCCTTGACAGATACTGAAAACTCAGTGAACCTAAGGTGACCGCCTCGGAAGCTCTACCGAAACACAGGGCTGTTATCTGTTATCTTTCCTATTTGGTCGCGAGGTTTCGCTCAGTGTATTAAGCCACCCTTGAAGCCATGTAATATGATTAGTACCGCCACCACTCACATTTGTCTTTGATTTGCCGTTACTCTCTAAAGCACTTAAACTACAAAAGCACAGCACCGCGATATTCAACATTTGTTGTACATAAGAACGCATTTCAGAAATGTATGGCTTCGTAAAACACTCCGTTATTGCATCAGATTGGATGATTTCCCAGAAATTGCCTCCGCTGAAACCATGGCCTGACTTTGACCTACCATAGGTCAGCGACCTTTCAAGGTAAATCTATGTTTTTATGTCAAACGATCCGCTATTTAATTGTCTACAGCTATGCCAAATTTGGCGCGGCTACGCCGCGCCATTCGGAACTATTCTGGAAAAACCTTTGGGGGGGGGGGCAGTTTAACCCCCACCCGAGCGCGTGTTAAAGGCTAAATGAACATATGATGCGTCGTCGGACAGACATCGGCTTCTGAAGCGCTCGCTGACTTCAAATTCACTCGGTCTACCGTCATGATCATATTTAAGGTTATAGCAGAACACGGATGCTAATAAAAGGTCGGGATTTGCATCTGCCTAATGGGTCCATGCGACAGTCCTTTTACGTTACTTGACCTGAAATGTCGCCCAAGACTTAGGGTCCCTGCCGCGTGTTTGCCAATGACTGTTCTTCAGTCGCCTCAATCATGACTGAGTTGGTCTGATGGGTTATATGAGTCCGGGTTTAGTGTCAGTGTCCGTCTAGTTTAGTGTCAGTGTCCGTCTAGTTTAGTGTCCGTGTCCGTCTAGTTTAGTGTCCGCTTCGTTCATTCAAATGTGTGCAACCCGCGCTCTGTTGTCTTGTATGTGATCTTACATAACCATGGTCCATGTTGAAGTACAGTAGTACAGAAGTACATGGTCCATGACCATGGTGAAGTACAGTGCTCAAACAGCGTTTAATGTCTTTAAGCCATTCGTAATGTTAACACGCGCTCGGGTGCGGGGGGAGAATGGCAAATGCCCCCTCCCACCCGCGGGCTGTTACAATTTTTAAAGGAAATATTTCGAGCCAACGGGACAGTTGATTTTATTATTACAACAAATTTCATCGGACTGGGACCAGGCCTGAAGGTCAAACGGAGTTAAAAACTAAACCGTTTTTTGCTGTTGTTTGGTTTGCTTCGTGAGCAAGTTTTAATGCTCATATGGAATCGCTTCATAACAGCGACCACAAGAGACACATTCTATGGATTCCTTTAAAGTTGGAGTAGGTTACTGAACTCAAATGACCCAAATCAACCCTTTGTTTTTTGGAACGTACCGCCTATCGTGTTCCTTAACGCTTATTCAAATTCACACATCCAAGCAACCACTAGGTTTTCAGTTACCACAATTTTATAAAGGTCAAACAAGGTCACTAACTTGAAATTAGCACCAGTGACATTTTGCTTGGAGCAAATGTCTACGTTCAAGGTGGTTGCATTAGGTCTGGGGGCACCTTTGACGCGTATCGTGAATAGGAACTTGTTTGACCCCATCTGACCTGAAGCCCATGATCTACAGACCTCAATTTTTGACGTAAGGTTACATCACACACAGGCTAACCCACCCTGTAAATTAAGTGCCTCTAGCTCTCCTACTTCTTATATCTCAGGGGTTGAATTACCCCCCACCTCCCACACCCCCCACACCCACCCCCGAGCAGAGTACTCAACCGGCCTCTCGGACGCGTGTTCAGTCGGATCCAAATGTCGCAACTCACATGCCTGGCATTAGAAGACCACGTCCTGATCCGTGTTTCAGCGATGAGAAAATAAGTGCTGCCATACAAAGTAAGCCCCGCCAGCAAGTTTAATACGAGGTCAATGCGCGCTCTTCACGGAAAGCGTGCATTTGAGCCATACATAACAGGGAGCACAGTGTGGTTGTGCTCCACTCATGTGATTAGTCTCTAGTCGACCTCTTCAGTGCGCCTGCTGAAACCGAACGCCATAGCGAACATGCTGAAAGGTTTTGTGTTATGCATTGTTCACGACGTTCACAGGATATTGGAAATGAAGACTGGTTCCATAAATGATAGGAACGCCCTGTGGCGTTTGAAGTGTAATCGGCGTTTAAGATTGAGACACCTTACTTGCATGCAGTTTGCTTTCTGATATCGTTTCTACGTTATTTTTGTCATTTGATGCTCAGTCTATTCTATGCATGCATGAGTTCCAAGCAAACCAAACGATCTAACAAGTCACTTAGAATGTGGTGGGAAGTTGAGTGTTGTCTTCTGCCGATGCAACAGACTCCATTTAAAATGTCACCGACGCAATGCTCGTAAAAGGTAACTTCACAGCGGTCTGGTTGTCCTGGAAATGCATTACGCTGTAATGCAATGCAAAGTGCACTAGGGAAACATTTCTAACACGTCATTTGTGTGATCTGATACGAATAGCGTACCGCACGATAAGATCTAATTACGAGCGAGTCAGAGTACAGATTGTGCTTTAACGTCAACCAACCGGCCATTGTGCAGTTTAACGTCAACCAACCGGCCATTGTGCAGTTTCAGTGGCTAGTCCGGCCCAGCCAGACCCGATTTTATCAGGCTTATGCCTTTGCAACCATTGATCGGTTGGCCATGAAGCTTTCAGTTACAAATAGCACAAGCTCTTAAAAACTGCACTGTGATATTTTAAGACACTGAAGTATATCCTGTTTGTTAAGACGGCGTGTTTCTGCAGCGTTTAAATGTGGCAACTAATTCACTTCCCTGTTGAGCGGATATGTGAAACGTAAATTCACGTGGGCCTACTGCAGCAGTCTCCCAGATGTGTTTATATTTTC